GCACCTCCTCAGGCCTCCTCACCCAGCACCTCCTCAGGACCCCTCACACAGCACCTCCTCAGGCCCCCTCACACAGCACCTCCTCAGGCCTCCTCACCCAGCACCTCCTCAGGAACCCTCACCCAGCACCTCCTCAGGCCTCTTCACCCAGCACCTCCTCACGCCTCCTCATCCAGCCCCTCCTCACGCCTCCTCACCCAGCACCTCCTCAGGCCCCCTCACCCAGCACCTCCTCAGGACCCCTCACCCAGCACCTCCTCAGGCCTCTTCACCCAGCCCCTCGTCAGGCCTCCTCACCCAGCACCTCCTCAGGCCTCCTCATCCAGCACCTCCTCAGGCCTCCTCACCCAGCACCTCCTCAGGACCCCTCACCCAGCACCTCCTCAGGCCTCCTCACCCAGCACCTCTTCAGGCCTCCTCACCCAGTACGCCCTCAGGTCCTTTGAATCTCCTCCACATCTGCCTAGTGTACTCTCTGCTCTAACCATGGGTGCTATATTAAAATATAGTCGTCCAAATGCAGCGTAGTCCTAGGGGTGTGACACAAGATCCTAACAACTGTGCCAGACAGATGTTGAAGTGCTTCACAAATTGCTGCATGTCCTCTGGAGAATAGACACTGATTATTTTTTTCTTGTTCGCCTGCAGATACATTTTAATACCTGGGGTCAAAGCTCCATCTGCTGAATTGCAGAACCCCTTACAAATATTTTACAGGTTTCAGCATGCATATTCTAATTCCCACATTTTATATCCAGGTATCTCGTGTTCTCTTTGAGATTCTTTGACTCATTCAAAACTAGGTGGATATTGCAGCTACTCTCCTATTTAGTCCAAGTGAACTGCACAATTTCCAAATTTTCAACTTTCTTCTGTGAAAAACAGCAAGCAATATTAAACCAGAGAAACTTCGTATCCCACAATCCATTTCCATGGCAACTTGGCATGCTTTAGGATGTTCCAAATAGAAATACAAACTAATTATCTTGCACCCAAGATAATTTAATTCTGTCAAACATATAATGAGTGATTTAGTTTGATATCTTCTGGCCTTACCATGAGCCTAGATATTCACCTTTCATCCCTGCTGCAGATGTCAGATCGGCCGTTCCAAGAGTGAACCCACAGAAAGCCACTGGCCCAGATTGTGTCCCCAGCTCTGCACTCGGATTCTGCATGTACCAGATGGCGAGAATTTTTGCTGACGTCTTTAACCTCTCCTTGCTACTGTTCAAAGTCCCCACCTGCTTCAAGCTGACCACCATCATCCTGATACCAAAGGAAACTCATGCAGTGTCCCTCAATGACTGCCACCCAGTGGCTCTGACTTCCATCATTATGAATATTTTGAAACATTAGTCATGGCTCACATCAACTCTAGCCTCTCCGCCCGGCCTGTCAGAAAAATTGAAGGTCTCTCTTCTTGAAACTGGAGGCTGTTGGAAAATTCCTCTCCCACTCCTGTCTTCTCCTCCCCTTTTACTTTCTCTGCCCGTTTTCTTCTTCTTTTCATCCATCCAGCTCATGGACAGGACCCCCTGACCTTTTGACTCCAGCAGTGGACAGGACCTCCTCCCAGCTCTGGGATGGAGACAGGAGTCACAGCGAATGATGATGGTGGTCTGAGGGGGAGACTCAGATGTAGGACTACAGAGAGTGCACCGAGAGGCTGGGGAATGGGGGCTGTAGTGTATTTGCCTCAGTGGGGTGCACTTTCTTTCAGCGACTGCCTGTATTCGTCTTTCCGTTCCAATCGCTTCCTTGTTTCACAATCTCGAACACTTCCTCTTCCCTCTCTCTCTCTCAATGGCGATGTGTAATTTTAATATGAGATGGGCTTGTGAGCTGCTCATTATCTCTGCCTTCTGTGTCGGTGAGTAACAATTTTTATATCCATTTTAGTTTAAATTCCATCCCATCTTGCTGATGGGGCTGGTACATTTCAACTGGGAGACTGCCTAAAACCCATTTGAATTGACAAAGTTACTCAGGGTACATTTACCCAGCTCTGAAATTGCACCAACAGGGTAGAGGGAGCGCTAAGACGGTGCAGGGAGATCATGAGGCTCCTGGATCCTCAAACATTAACACAACAACCTGCATTTGTTTAGCCCCTTTATCTTTGTAAATCCCAATGCAATTCTCAGGCCCCTTATGGAGCAAACACAGAGGGAGGGGGATGTTGGGGAACAGTTTAGGCATCTCAAAGAGCGAGGCTTTCAGGGATAAAGCTTGAGGTAAAGAGAAAGTTAGAAAGTGACAGAAAATGAAATACAGGAAAGGGAGAAACAGATAGAGAGACAGAGAGGCCATCAGAGATAGAGGAATGAAAGAGACAGAGAGAAACAGAGGGAGAGAGAAACACGGAGAGAGAAACAGAAGGACAGAGAGATAAACACAAAGAGAATCTGCAGGAGAGAGAGTCAGAGAGGGAGAGAGAGTGATAGAGAGGGAGATGGAGAGAGAGGGAGATAGAGAAAGATAGAGAGAAAGAAGGATTTAGAGAGCGAGGGAGAGATATAGAGAGAGGGGGAGGGAGATAGAGAGAGGGAGAGGGAGATAGAGAGAGAGAGAGAGGGAAGGATATTGAGTGAGGCAGAGAGGGAGATAGAGAGAGAGAGAGGGGGGAGAGAGAAGGAGAGGGAAAGA